GAAGTGAGCTCAAAATGAAAAGCAAAAAAATTGAAAATTGCTCTATGCATAAAAATTTTCATTCCCAATTGATTAATAATAATTCTAATGGCGAAAATTTATTTTTCAGTTATCGAAAGAGGTAAAATATAATGCAGTGATAACGCTGGATATTGAAGAGCTTATAGAGGATGGTCAACTCGCTGAACTGGATGATGAATGGAGTGCAGAGGATGAAGATTATTTGGTATTTTTGTTTTTTTTTCATCTGTTCATTTATTCCTCCGTTAAGTTATTCTGATAAATGTTATCACCCATCAAAAATAATAATAGTAATTTGTATCATATTGATGTGAACTTTGGCATCTGGCGTTTATTTCCAATAACACTGAATACTGTCATGCAAGCACAAACCAGTAAGATCATAATCGAATCGTACATACAAATGTTCCATTCTCATCATACATATCTTATACCATCACACATGTGTTACATCTTATACCATTCCCTTTGTATGAATATTTCTGTTAGTTTTCAAATGTTTACATATTTTAAAAATGAATTTTGCAGACGGAGAAAGTGTTGAGTGATAATATGAGTATTGATGATAAGCCATCGATAAAGATGAAGGAAAAATTACGAGGGGTGTTATCGCAGATCAGAGGATATCGAGAACTGTGTACTTTGGTTGAGGCGAGAAGATTGGAGAAGTACGATAAGGAAAATATGCATCACGAAAAGAGGTAACGTCTTTGACGTGTATCTTTGTCATATGTTGCGAATGCCTTCTTAATCATTTGGTGTCTGAGACAGTTTCATTGTTGAAGATGTAATAATGATTTTAAGGCTGATCAGATTATGGGACCTACTCATGCCTAATGAGAAACTTAAAAACAGGAAGACAAAACAATGGCAGAAAATTGGGTTTCAAGTAAGTTAATGAAGAATGTTTATCGTATTGCTTCAGTGAACAGCCAACACTTTTCTTTTTATTTATAATTAATGAGGAAAGGAATGGAATATACAAATAATTATAATTATTTATATGATGAGCATGAATTTTTTGTTTGAAGAGTTTATAATAATAACAGTGATAGAACTAACTGTAATAACTAAAGAGATGAATTCAAGATAAGAATATATTGCCGTGCTTTCAGAGTGACGATCCCTCAACAGATTTCCGTGGAATGGGTATTTTGTCATTGGAACAGCTCTTATTCTTTGCACAATACGATTTTGATGAAGCTTCTTCCGTTCTTTCGCTTTCAATGGACACTAAATATGAGTGAGCAGAATCATTTATTCATCTTCAGTAGTTTAATTATATGAAGTCATTAATGAAAAGGTAGAAGTAAAATGACTTATTGTAATGTATTAGTGATGAAACAAATTTAAATGACGTTCATTTCATACAGATTCCCGATGGCAATCGCTGGAATAACGTTCAGTTGGATGTTGAGAGATCTGCTCCATAGAGGATATCTGAAAACTCATTTCTATAACAGTGTTGCGGGCGCGCCTTCACTCAACAATTTTCATCGAATTTATTGTACGTTAATCATTTATTTATGCACTTATTTACTCTGTTATTTTGCTTATTTTCTTCTGTTCTTCTTGCATCCATCCGGGTCTCCTAAAATGTATTTAGTATTAGCAATTAGTACTTTGCCTTTGATCAAAATTATGCTTAAATGTGGAATCGTTGCGAACTGAAAGTTCGAAACAATTTATAAGCATGCCATAAACCGAAATTTTTGTAACTTTTACATTCTTTTATCGAGCTGATTTCAGCTAATTTCCCAAATTCAACTTCCAACTGTGCAATGATGGCTATCTATAAATTTATATGTTCTTTATGCACATATAACTAGTTTCAATTCCAGGTAAACTCTTCAAATTGTTTTCAAAATATTGGAAATATCGCGAGCCGTCATCAATGATGGATTTCAATTCTGTGAAAGACGATTTCGAGCAAAGATTTATCGAAAAGATTACATCAGAGGATGTTAATATTCTTAAGATTGAATTTGATGATCTTATCAGTTGAATAGTCGTGATTACCATTCGGTTATTGATCGGAATTGTAGTACTCCTGATGCTTTAAATTATCGAATAATCAGAGCATCTTTGTAAATTTTAAGTTATATTTTAAATTCATAGTTCTGGACGTTATTTGACGTTGCTACAGTGTATGTATATTGGCAAAAAGTATCGTTCTAAGTGCTCTCATGGGTAATTTTTTGTGTGT